ATGTTGCAGATCAAATGTAGAAATGCAAGCTGTTAGACTTCAAATAATGTGGACAACGTGCTAGAGAATTCAAAATAGAATCTATCCGACTATCTTCGTAACGTCTCATAGCCGGTTTGGCGTGTTTCAGGGTTCAGTGCTGCCGTCACTGTTCAACTTTTGTGAGCACTCTGCAAATATGAGACCAATTAACTGCGTGAAATATGCTGATATGGTTCTCTTCGCTGGAATCCGATGTCAGTGTGACTGCTCTGTTTCGTAAGATGCGATGGATGGAGTAGAAAGCAGTATCATTAAGCCAAACAATGGTTCCCGCTAACGAAGGTCTTGAAGAACATGCCATCTATGCTACTCTCTGCTGAGTACCTGATAGAACAGGTGAAATGATAATTGTGTTCGCATTGTACGGTATTTGAAGAATCATCTTGAATTGCAACCTCAGCTGGAACGATCACCTTATTGCTGTATTCTCGAAGGTACGGCGATGATCATTCTACTTGCTGACACTGCTCAGATTCCTTCTAATGAAGCAAACCGATTGTCTGTTTTCGGTTGTTTAATTTTTCGGTTATTTAATGTTCGGTGTATTTGAAAATAGTCTCTGTTGCTGATAACAACTATGTTACACAAGCCAATAAATCGTTGAATGATTGACTGTTTGATAATGGCCAGTGATACTGACGGAAGTACTGTGCTAGCAGCGGATACGAATCCCCAACTGAAGGATTATTCAGTTTATGATAAAGTTTTGTAGGATGAACTTGTTTACCATGATGATTAAGTTACTGGCACTACAAGGCTGTGAGCGTTTAAGTCTTGCAGAATCGGATTTCGCGACATAGCCCCTTGCTCTTGGACGACTATGAGGTATTTACTCAAGCTCGGCTCCATGAGGCAACAGAGTGAATAGGTAAAAATAAATTTCGATCATTTAAAGATTGTTGCTTTTTCGTGTTTGTACGTTTATTGTACTGCGACAGTTGCGGGCGATAAGTGACTGACCCGTTTGCTTGTTTCAGTATACCAATCAACCTATGGCGACACCCCCGTATGGGTGCTGTACAGACGCAACTTCAAGGGCCCGATGCACCTGCCGCCCAAAACGCGATACAACTGCACTCCGAACGGCATATTTAAGACGAACAGCCCTTGTCCAATCTGTCGCGATGAATATCTTGTTCTGGATTTTCGGGTGAGGACAGTGGTCTTGTATGCGGCCTGTTTGTTTTATACTTCTGTTATGCATAACAAATCCGTTTGCATTTCAGAATATTAAACTGCTTAATCAGTTCATCATACCACAGACCGGACAACTAGTTGAAAACAAACGGTGTCATCTGTGCCGATTGCAGTACTTTAACCTACGAGTGGAATTGCTGAAAGCACGAAATTGCGGTACGTTATAAGCTTGCTATGCCGTTTTCTTGGTACCGTACGACAGAGCCATCAGGCTGTTCTACCTTATTTCTGTAACAAAAGTAAGGGTGTAAAAGCAAAAGTGAG